CTTAGCTAAAGTTAGTCGAGTTGTGAAGTCTTTGTAATAGAGTTATTACAAAGTGGCTTGTAATAGTGTTGTTACAAATTAGTGAGTGATTAAGTCTTTGTAATAGAGTTATTACAAAGTAGCTTGTAATAGTGTAGTTACAAGTTAGAGGTTAATTCCTAGGTTACAATAGGTTATAATATAAAGAGTGCTCAGTAATGAAGTTGAACTCCTACAAGGGTAGGTCGTGGTTATTAATCTCGTTGAGCTAGGAATTTTCCACGTAAAATTCCTCTGTGTCATTTACTTACTGCAGTGTGCACATGTTCTTTATTTGCAGCCGAATTATTGTGGGAAGAGATAGAGAACATGGTTTCCTATACTGTTTGGTTTTATAGTCTGTTGCTTACTGTGGGAACTGACAGAGAATCTGGTTCTCTATACAATTTGGTGGACGCTTAGTTTCTATCAGGTAATTTAGAACTAAATTAAACAATTTGGAGCTTTAAAGTTTGAGTATAAGCCCAACAAATTAAGTCGTCTCAGTGAACAAAAGAATTTACTCTGAAAAAAAGGAATAGCTGCGCCGAATGGGGCGTTGCGAGGCGCGGCAACACAAATTTGGTCTGACAGGCAATGTGTGAGCTATCTGGATTTCCTCACAAGTGCGCCGCATGGCGCGACGCAGCTCGGGTGTGCAAGAATGTCAAAGTGATCTCCTAGTTCGGCTAGGAAAGGGTAGTTTCATCCGAGCTTGTTTCTACATGGTATAAATACACCAAAAACACGATTTTGAGGAGACTTTTGACCTACAAAAGATTGGAGAACCAACCAAGGCAAGAAGACTCAAGAATTCATCAATATTTCAACCTACAATTGGTGCAATACAAGAGTTTGTATCGAATTATTAGAATTGATGTTTTTTTGTTTTTGAAACTTATTGAGATGTCTTACTCCATTGCTATGGACTAATTTCCATTAGGGTGTTGACAGGTACGGTGTTCCGATAACTTGATTAGGGATTCGATTCTTGATAATTGTTAGAATTAATTTATGGAGCTTTAATTTGTATTGTGGAGTTATTTATTATTTTGCTTAATCGAAAGAGGAGTTTAATATTGAATTTCTTCACATCTTATGCCCTAGTTTAAATTCGTGATTCAAATAGGTAGTCGAAAGAGACTCGTGAATTGTTAATCGAACTAAAAAATAGGGAAATATTCATGAAAAGTTACCCGTTAGATCATAATCATCATTTTATTGTTGAAATTGTTTACCGTGCTTCAATTGGATTAATTACTAAAATTAATGTTTAATTGAAAGAGAAACATTAACTTCAAGTGTAATTTGATTATCGGTTTAATTCGTGAGAGTCAACCCTATTATAGAGTGAATTAACTCAAGAATTGGATCCCAGTCAGTTATCTTGCACCTTTCTAGTCAAATAAGCTTATTCCTCTCATTGATATTTCTTTCTTGCTCATCTGCTTTCTTTTGTGATCAATTGTTATTTGTTTAAATTTTAGTAGTTAATCGTAGTAATGGTCATCAAATTGTAATGACTCGACTGGTCATTTTGAGCTTTTGCACTTCGCTCGCCAGTTCTCGGACATGTCTAGCCCCATGTGATGTATTATGACTTATGTAAATTGTCGGTTTTGGTTTTCAGGGTAACCGGAATGAATTTTGAAGAACAGTTCTCAATTTGAAGCTTAAAATTTGAACGGTTTGACCAAGATTTGACTTGTTAGTAGATGACCTCGGATTAGAATTTTTATGATTTGGTCGGCAACGTTAGGTGATTTGGGACTTAGGAGTGTGGTCGGAATGTGTTTTGAAGGTCCGAAATAGAGTGAGGCTGGAATTGGCGAAATTGGAATTTTGGCGTTTTCTGGTTGATAGGTGAGATTTTGATATCGGGGTCGAAATGGAATTCTAGAAGTTGGAGTTGGTCCGTTGTGTCATTTGTGACGTGTGTGCAAATTTTTAGGTCATTCGGACGAGGTTTGATAGACTTTTTGATCGAAAGCGGAATTTGGAAGTTTTTGGAATTCTTAGGCTTGAATCCGATGTAATTTTGGTGTTTTAATGTTGTCTTGGGCATTTTGAAGGTTGGAACAAGTTTGAATGATGTTATGGGATATGTTGTCATGTTTGGTTGAGGTCCCGAGGGCCTCGGGTGAGTTTCGGATGCTCGACAGGTCATTTTTGGACTTAAGGAGCTGTTGGTTTTGCTGGTCTTCTACAACTGGTATGTTCTTCATCGCGATCGGGGTGAAGGTCCTCGATTGCATAAGGCAAATGGGAGGCTAGATGGGTTAACACTTCGCGTCCGTAGAGAAAGGGGATGCGATCGCGTAGGTCAGTCAAGTTGTGTAACGCGAAAGTGTGGGCCAGGCCGTATTCGCGTAGAAGAAATAAAGCGGCAGTGGAATCAGCTATTACCCTTCGCGTTCGCGCAGCTCTGGGGAATCAATATACCGCGTTCGCATGTGGATTAACGTGGTCGCATAGAGTAAAATATTGAGGCACCAAAAATGTTCTTCGCGATCACGATTAAGAAACAATCTGGACAGACATATTATATTTGGAAATCAATGGTTTAAGTTAATTATCACAAAAACCATTGGAGAGCTCGGGAGAAGGTGAAATTGGAAGAGATTTTCAGTGGAGCAATTGGGCTAAGTATTCTTCACTCATATTTGGTCTAATCCCATGATTTAATCTTGAATTTTATCATTTAATTTGAGAAATTAGAGCGGAAATTGGGGGAAAATGGAAGGAAAGTTTGAGAACTCTTTTGGGGATTTGAATGATAATTGATGTCGGATTTTGATAATTTTGGTATGTATAGACCATGGGAGGATTAGGATTCTATTGATGTGATTTTTATCGGATTCCGAGATGTGGGTCCGGGGGTCGGGTTTGGCCAATTTCGGGATTTTTGATGTAAATTGGTTATTTTCAAGTGGGCTTTGTTCCCTTAGCATATTTTGACGATATGAATCTGATTTTGATTAGATTTGGAGCAATTGAAGGCCGATTCGAGGGGCAAAGGTATCACGAGCTAGAATTTGGACCGGATTGAGGTAAGTAATGACTGTAAATGCTGTCCTAAGGTTATGAAACCCCGGATTTCACACTGTTGTGCTAATTTAAGGTGACGCACACGCTAGATGAAGAGCGTGGAGTCGTGTACCATTGGGGATTGCGACTTGGTCCATCCCGTACGATTGTTAAGTCGCGTATTTGATTTGAAATCTTATGATTTTTGTATTTTTAGAGATTGATATTATATTTTGGGCTGTTGCCATGTTTGAGGCCTTGTGTCGACCTGTTGAGACCCTTAGGGACATTTTTACTATTCTTCCTCGTTTTATTTGTTTTGAAAGCATATCCTTAGTCATGTATTACCTGTTTATTGTTTAAATCTAGTTCTATCATTATACTTCTTAAAATGCGAAAACTGTTTGAGCTAAGTTCCTTGTTTTACTGATAGTCTGAGTGGCTTGTGAGGTTGATGGCTGAGATAGACCGAGGGTCTTATTGTGAGATTAATGATTGAGAGAGGCCGAGAGCCTGGTTGTTAGGATTATTTATTTATGGATCGGGCTGCACATCGCAACGATATATATATATATATATATTTTGGACCGGGCTACGGGCCGCAGCGATAAGATGCTTGGGCTGTAGGAGCCCCTCCGGAGTCTGTACATCCCCAGTAAGCATAATCGACTATAAATTATGGATCGGGCTGCATGCTGCAGNGCTGTAGGAGCCCCTCCGGAGTCTACACACTCCCAATGAGCGCAGTTGACTAGATATATGGATCGGGCTGCACGCCGCATCGATATATGGATCGGGCTGCACATCGCAGCAATATATGGATCAGGCTGCACACCGCAGCAGTTATGATAAGGTACCTATTGAGCGTGAGTGCTGAATGCTGAGAGTTGAGTCATGAGTGATTGAGTGGCTTGCCCATGGGCTATATATATGCATATACGAGTGATGCTTTTGCCTGAGGGGCTTGTTTATGAACTTACTATTTTTCACTCCTCCTTAAAGTGAGTTTCTGTTGCATATGTTGATTAAATTACTGCTTTCACTCATCTTTATACCGAGCCTCTATTGAAAATGTTGAACAAATACTTTAAACAACTTTCATTTAAACTGGAGTTTTTACGAGGTGTTCAGAATTTAGTCACTGATTTGGCTTTGTTACTTTCTCCAAGATTTTTAAGTTATGAGATGGTTATGAATTTTTGTTTGCCGAGGGGTTGTATACGATCTATGTTTTGTCCGAGGGGTTGTATACGATCTATGTTTTGCCCGAGGGGCTGATTATGAATTGAATGGTATCCTATTTGTGAAACATACTATAGCTACTGTGGTGCTATGACGTGGTTTACGTGATTTCTTACTCCACAGTCTTTATTTACTTTTATTACTTACTGAGTTGGCGTACTCACATTATTCCCTACACCTTGTGTGCAGATTCAGGTATTTCTAAGCTCGGTGGTAGGATTCTTTGGAGGTAGCAAGGTAGTTGTTTGGCGTTCGCATCCCTACTTTTCTCCCTCCTTATTCTCCCTTAATGCATTCTTGAATTTTTCCGACCATATTGGTCTTGATGTTTTTAGACAGTAGTAGTAGATGCTCATGACTTGTGACACCCCGATGTCGGGCTTGTATATTACTTCTGCACTGTTCATTTAGACTTACATTATGAAACATTTGTTTAATTAAAGGCTTAAAAATGATTCTTATTGATTAATGGTTAATTTGGGATTTGTGTCGGCTGGCCTAGTTTCACGATAGGTGCCATCACGACCGAGTCGATTTTAGGGTCGTGAGACAAATCAAGTGTTAATTTTCCTGGATAGTGATCAATTGGAGATTATTCAAACACTATTTAATTCCAATCCCTATGGAGACGATAACTAATCTATACTATCTTTGATTAGCAAGTAATAATTTTGTGTTGTATTTTGCACTCATCATTATCTCTCAGATTAGCCATGTCTTTATTCAACTCACTTACCTCAATTTTGAACCAAAACAAGTTTGAAGGACCAAATTATGTTGATTGGAAAAGGAACCTTGATATTGTCCTAACTACTGAAGGTTACAAATTCGTAATCACAGAGGAATGCCCAGAAAAACCTAATGAAGATGCTACTGATGATCAGGTTAAGACCTATGACAAATGGGTTAAGACTGATTAGATGGCACGATGTTACATTCTTGCCTCTATGGAGAATGTTTTGCAACACCAACATCAGTCTATGTGGTCTGCTTATGACATGCTCGAAAGTCTCAAAGAGATGTTTGGTGAGCAAAATTGTGCGGCTAAGAAGACAACCATGAAAGCCCTTTTGAACACTAAGATGGCTGAAGGATCATCGATTAGGGACCATGTTCTGAAGATGATGGGTATTCTGAATGAACTGGAGGTCCTTGGAGTTGTGATTCATAATGAATCTCAAGTTGAGATGGTCCTGCAGACTCTGCCTGACAGTTTTCAACAATTTTGCTTGAACTATAATATGAATAAAATGGATTTGTCACTAGCGAAATTATTGAATGAGCTGCAAGCAACATAATCTATTATCAAACAACAAGCTCCAGTTGTGGCACTAAATGTTGAGAAATCTTCGATTTCTAAGTCGAAAAGCAGTAAGAAAAAGAAGAAGGCTCAAAAGGTTTTGGCACCGGAAAGTGCAACTGCTTGTGTGAAAAAGCCCAAAGGAAAGTGCTATCATTGTATGCAACCTGGGCATCACAAAAAGTAATGCTCTGCCTATCTAGCAAAGTTGAATAAGCAAGGTAATTCTAATTAAAATGTCATGACCCGAGTTCTCCCTCCTTGAACTGTTGTGACATCACCTAGTCTCTACGACTAGGTAAGCCTACCAATTTGTGGAAATGAAATAAATACATGAAAACTAACAATTTAACAAGTAAATCTAATAAAGAGTTTAAAAGGTCACTCGGCATATACAATAAGCACTCTCAAACTAAACATAAATGCTCGAAAAACCCGGAAACCCGTAGTCACAAGCTATTAAGATGTTCTAACTATTCTAAACATCATCTCTACCGAAAGAAAGAGAAATGAACATAAGGGAATAGAGAGGGACGCCGAGGATATGCAGGCGCGGGTAGATGTACTTTGAAGTCTCCAATAGGCAGCAACGATTGCAACTAGTGATGAGACTAGTACGATGAACCTGGATCTGCACATGAAAAATATGTGTAGGTAAAAGGCATTAGTCCACCACAACGGTACCCAGTAAGTGCCAAGCCTAGCCTCGATCGAGTAGTGACGAGATCAGATCAGGGCCTTGCTGTTTTATACATAATAATAAGATAAAACAATATGAAATATGGCAGTAAGGATAAATGCTAATAGTAAATAAAAAATGAAATCACAAGAAAATAATAACTTGATACACAGAGAAAGCAACAGGAGATCTCTCAGGATATCGTCCCGTAGTCCCAAACGTAAATGTATAGAGGATCTCCCGAGATAACGTTCCGTAGTCCAAATTGTAAATGTACAGGGGGATCTCTCGGAGTACCATTCCATAGTCCCAAAGTAAATATCCAGTATAGGGGGATTTCCCAGGATACCGTCCCGTAGTCCCAAACATAAACATGCCGGGGGATCTCCCGGAATATCTTTCCGTAGTCCAAAAGTAAATACACAACTCATTCAATATACACCACAGTCACAACAAGGAAAATTTATAGTTTTAATCAAGTTCGTATAAAAAAAAGGTAATTCTTACTCTAAACATGCTATACAGAGTCCAGGTAGGCAGTTAAAGTAGATAAGACAGTTAATGCACGTAAGCATGTTTTTCTAAGCTAAACAAGTGGCTACATATTCTAGTATTGCTCAATTAAAGGAAAACATAGATATTTACTTAATGAAAATAGGGGTTTTCAACAATTAGCACGTGTACACACTCGTCACCTCATGTACACAACATTCATATATCAACAGTACCAAATCCTAAGGGGAGTTCCCCCACACAAGGTTATGCAAGCCACATACCTTGAACCAAGCTTAAATCAATTCGAAATCACACTCTTGCCATGAGTATCCAACTCCGAATGGCCCAAATCTAATCAAATCAATTACATAGCGTAAATATAGTTACAAGCATCTAATTTAGCTAATGAATTCAAAGCTAAAACAAGAAAATAGGAAAATGCCCAAAAATCCTCCCCAGGCCCTCGTCTTGGAATCGGGTAAAAGTCACAAATTATGAATACTCATTCACTCACGAGTTCACTCGTACAAAAATCATTCAAATCCGACGTCTAATTCCCATTCAAACCTCAGATTTTCAATTGGGGAACTTTTTCTCCCATTTCCAAACTTCCACCCTCAAATTCCTTAATTAGATGGAGAATACAACAATAGATTAATGTATTATGATCAAATTAGAGTTAGGATTAGTTACCCAATAGCTTTCCTTCAAAATCCCTCGAGAAATCACCTCCCACCGAGCTCCAAATCAAATTTTATGTTCTGAAATTTCAAACCCTCGAAATCCTTTTTTTTTTCCCAGTGATTTATGAATTTGCGCTCATGGGGCCGCATCAGTGGTCCTGCATCTGCAGAAAAATCATCGCAGGTGCGAAGGTGTCACCACCCAAAACCGATTCGGTCGTGATGACGCCTATCGTGAAACTAGGCCAGCCAACACAACTCCCGAATCAACCATTTTCCAATTAAAGATTTTTTTATACCATTTATAAACCAATAATCTCATAATGAAAATTTAAAAGAAAAGTGCGGAATAATTACACAAGCCCGACATTGGGGTATCACTAGTCATGAGCATCTACCAAGGTCTGAATACAACAAGAGTCTAAAAATGTACTAAATATAGTAATGAAAAAAAATGAGGGAGGAAAGCATTGTTGCAAACGTCGTGCAACCACCTTGCTAAATCCGCCGACTCCGCCTCTGAGCAATCAACACCTGCTACAGGGTTCCGAAATACCTGAATATACACACGAGGTGCAGGGAGTAATGTGAATACTCCATCCTAGTAAGTAATACGAGTAAATAAAGATTGAGCAGTAGGAAACGATGAATCCACATTTGTGATAAACTCAATAAGTACAACAGGCTTTCAATCAGAATACGAGTCAATCGTCTCATTTAAAATCCAGCTTTTGGTAAAAATAATTTAAAATGCTTTCCAACAGTTTCAGTAGTGGTTCAATACCATTTATAATAAAAGAGATGAAAACCATAATCAACCCCTTGGGCAAAACATAGTTCGTAAACAGCCTCTCGGGCAAAACAGGAATCATAAACACCTCATAACATAAAAATCTTAGTGGAAATAACAAAGCAAACTCAATGATTAAATACTGAATATCTCATAAAAACTCCAGCTTAAATGAAAATTGTTTAAAAACATTTGTTCAACAATTTCAATAAAGGCTCAGTATAAAGAGGAGTGAAAACAACAATTGCATCAAAACAAGCCCCTCTGGCAAGGCATCACTCATATATGTATATACCCCTCGAGCAAGCCTCTCAGTCACTCGAGACTCAACTCTCATCAGTCAGCGCTCAGACTCAGCACTCACTATCAATAAGTACCATATAGTAATCGCTGCGGCATGCAGCCCGATCCATATATCGCTGCGGCGTGCATCCCGATCCATATATATAGTCGACTGCACTCACTGGGGGTGTGCAGACTCNCAGGCCCTCGACCTCCCTCAGTCATTAACCTCATAATCATACTCTCAGTCTATCTCGGTCATCAACCTCACATTTTAAGCAGTAAAGTGATAAAACCAGATTCAGACAATAAACAGGTAAAATATGACTGAGGATATGCTATCAAAACAAATAGAGTGAGGAAAATAGTAAAAATGCCCCTAAGGGTCTCAACAGGTCGGCACAAGGCCCCAAATATGGCATACAACCCAAAATATAATATCAATCTCTAAAAACATGGAATATCATAAGATTTTCAAATCAAATACGCGACTTAACAGTTATACGAGACGGACCAAGTCACAATCCCCAACGGTGCATGACTCCACGCTTGTCATCTAGCGTGTGTGTCACCTCAAGTGGCAGAACAATGTGAAATTCGGGGTTTCAAACCCTCAGAACAACATTTACAATCATTACTTACCTCGATCAGATCCAAACTCTAGCCCACAATTCCTTTGCCCTCACGAATCGACCTCTGGATACTCCAAATATAGCCACAATCAGTATATAACTATAAAAATATGCTAAGGGAACAAAGCCCACTCAAAAATATCCAATTTACATCAAAAATCCCGAAATTGCTCAAACCTGGCCCCCGGGCCTACATCTCAAAATCCGATAAAAGTTACAACAATAGAATCCTCGCCCTCTCACGAGTCTATACATACCAAGAACATCAAAATCAAACCTCAATTGCCCCTTCAATTTCCCAATTTACACTCTCCAAAGTCAAGCCCTAATTTCCCAATTTTAGGCTTTAATTTCCACATATTTAATGATTAAACAAGTAAGAATCAACATAGGATCGAGTATTTAGTTCACAAATCTTACCTCCAGGTGTTATATCTTGAATCCCTCTTCAAATCCTCTCATAAAGCTCCAAAATCGCCCAAAATAGTGAAAGATAGCCCCAAAATTGTGGACAATGGCTATTTAAACTTTGCCCAGGCATCAAAACCTTCTTCACGAACGCGGGATAACCATCGCATTTGCGATGAACAAAAACACCAACCATCAAAAATGTTCTATGCACTTGCGGCACCAGCCTAGCGAAGGCGATACACATTGGATACAGAGCTATGCGAACATGTCCCAAGACTCGCGAACGCGATAAAGAAAGGTCTACCAGCCCATCTCCTAGCCCGACTCTATGCGAATGCGACATGCCATACGCGAACGCGAAGGAGTCCTCCCCTAACACTATGCGAACACAGGACACACTTCGCAATTGCGAAGAGCAATTTGCTGATGCCATGCTAATATACTACACGTTCCCAACACGTGCCTTGCGAACGCGATAAAGAACTGAGGCACCAGATATCAGCAGAACACAGTAGTGAAACATGAAGGAAAAATAGCCCAGAATAAATCTGAAAATGCGCCTGAGCCCCTCGGGACCACAACCAAATATGCCAACATATTCCATAACCTCATTCGAACTTGTTCCAACCTTCGGAACACTCAAAACAACATCAAAATACCAATATTGCATCAGATTCAAGCCTAAGAATTCCAAGAACTTCCAAATTACGCTTTTGATCAAAACCCCAACCAAACCACGTCCGAATGACCTGAAAATTTGCACACACATCACAAATGAACAATAGAGCTACTGCAACTTTCGGAATTCTATTCCGACCCCTATATCAAAATCTCACCTATCAACCGTAAAATGCCAAAATCTTAATTTTGCCAATTCAAGCCTAAACCTTCCATGGACTTCCAAAATGCATTCTGATCACGCTCCTAAGTCCCAAATCTCCTAACGGAGCTAACCAAATCATAAAAATGCTGATCGGAGATCATATACCAACAGGTCAAATCTTGGTCAAACTTTTCAAATTTCAA